CCCGCTGCATCTGGGACCGGGCACTGCCCCTCTGGGACCTGCTGGATGAGGATGAGACCAACAAGACCAAGGCCATGTTTGGCATCTCCCTGGTGACGGATGCCACCCTGAAACGCTTCGGGGTGCGTTATCTGAGGACTGCCAAGTCCCTTGTCTTCCCCTGGTTCAGACCCTGAAGGGCCTGAAGCTTTTGAGGGTGGAGAAGAAGGGGGATGCAATAACTTACGTGGAAGAGACTTTACCGCGCTTCGATTCTTATCACAATCTCTTTGGACTGCCACTGATCGGCCGCCGAGACACAGAACTGGTCTTAACTGGGTGGGAGCTGGATGCCCTGGCCCTGCACCAAGCTACAGGGGTGGCCAGCCTAGCCCTGCCACGGGGGGCCACCTGCCTGCCCCCTGCCCTCCTCCCCTACCTGGAGCAGTTCAAGCGCATCACGCTGTGGCTGGGCGAGGACCTGCGCTCCTGGGAAGCTGCCAAGCTCTTTGCCCGCAAGCTGAGCCTCAAGCGTTGCTCCCTGGTGCGCCCCAGCGACCTCCAGCCTCGGCCCTTGGAGGCTCTGAACCAGAGCCTGAACATCACCAAGATCCTGCGTGCCGCCCTGCCTGCCAGCCACAAATCCATCATCTCCTTCCGGCAGCTGCGTGAGGAGGTGTTCGGGGAGCTGGTCAACACAGAGCAAGTGGCTGGCATCAAGTGGGCGCGCTTCCCCGAGCTCAACAAGCTTCTCAAAGGGCACCGCAGAGGAGAACTCACCGTCTTTACAGGTGATGGGCAAATGAGTGGTGGATGGGGGAAGCAGAGGGCTCTTCAGTGCCTTCACCCTCCTGAGGGTGACGCCTCCTAAGCTTTCCTGGTCCCTTTCTGCTCATGGCTTCGGCTGAGCCCGTCGTGGGCCGTGTAAGAGGCTGGGGGGTGTTCCTGGGTGCGGTGGGGCCAAGGGTGCCAGTGTGGTGTTGGGCTCCCTGCCTGGGGTGATACAGAAAGTTCCAGAGTGTCCTTTACCCCTGCTCCCACCCACCAACCCCTGTCTGAGCCCTCTCTGTGCCCTGCTGGCTGCCCAGTCCTTCCCTGCACAGACGCTCTGGCAGCTGGGAGGTGACACGCCTGTGTGTGGACCTGCAGGATGGTGTGAGATGTTGCTTGTTTATGGTGGGAGTGCTGCACATGGGCTGCTCTTATCCCGCTCCCCGGTGCTTCGGCCTCTAAACAACCCACTGGTGCATTCCAGATGGGTCAGATCTTTTTCTCCAGCTAATTCCTCCTGTTGTTGTCCTTGTGCCAGGCCCGACGGGCAGTGGGAAGACGACCTTTATCAGTGAGTACGCACTGGACCTGTGCACGCAGGGGGTGTGCACGCTGTGGGGCAGCTTTGAGATCAACAATGTCCGCCTGGCCAAGATCATGCTGACACAGTTTGCTGCCCGGCGCCTGGAGGACCAGCTAGAGCTGTACGATGAGTGGGCTGACCGCTTCGAGGACCTCCCGCTCTACTTCATGACTTTTCATGGCCAGCAGAACATCAAGTATGGTCTCACACCTTCATCCCCAGTGGTGTTTACCCCTCATGGTTTGTGCTGCAGGGCCTTGGGGGGCCTGGGCTCTTCACCAGCAGCGGGTTGTGGATTTGGCGCTGGCAGGAAGCATATTGGGGCTGGTCAAGTCCTGAGGCTGGTGTATGGGGACTGCATGGTTCAACCATCTGCATTCATGTTGTCATAGGGACTGTCACAGCCTCTCTCTGGGGTGGGAGTGAAGGTAGGGTGCGTGTCCCTGTGCTAGGTGGCCACTCCAAAAGCAGCTTCTGTCTCTGGCAGGATGTGTCTCCTCACACCCTGCTCACGTGGCAGCACTGTTGTTTGCTGAGGAGGGAGGACAGGCACCTCTATCTCTTTTTATTCACCAGGTGCTGTGGTGCTTGCACACATCCCCGTGCTCCCTGAGGGTCCCTACTGGCTGGGGGGATCGCAGGACGGTGGGGAGGGGCTGTGTGGGCAGCAGCTGGATCCTCCTGATCCAGCCGTCCTTACCTGTGGTGATGGGGCTGTGCCTGTTGTGTGACAGAGGAGATGCAGAGGTGGGACATGCCCAGGTCCCAGGAGGAACCAGCCTTGTGCCTTCCCACTCTGCCTCTCCCTGTGCCTGGTTCAGCATCACCATCCCCGCCTCGGCTGATCCCTGGATCTGATACCATCTGATCCCAGTTTCCTCCCGCCAGGACGGTGATTGACACCATGCAGCATGCCGTCTACATGTACGACATCACCCACGTGGTCCTGGACAACCTCCAGTTCATGATGGGACACGAGCACCTCTCTGTGGACAGGTAGCCCTTCTCCAAGCCACCCCCTCCTTCCTCCACCGCCCTCCTTGCTGGGGCTGACCCTGTTGGGTGTCATGGCAGGGCTGGGGACCCACACAGGGCGTCCCCTTCAGTCCTGTCGGACAGCCCTGTTTTGTTGAAGGATGATCACTGCCCTGGGGAGGAAGAGGTGGGTATGGGTGAGCTGGTTACCAGCTGTTGCTGTCATGCCACATCCCTTTGCCCATGTGGGCCCAGCTGCCCCACAGAGTGTGAGCTTGGACCCCTGGGTGCTTCCTGCTGTGGGGCTGAACCTGTTAGCACCCGCTGCCCTTCACCCCAGCAGTGCCAGCCGCTGACTCTGTTCTCGCTGACATTGCAGGCTCGCTGCCCAGGACTACATCGTTGGTGCCTTCCGCAAGTTCGCCACAGACAACACCTGCCACATCACGCTGGTCATCCATCCCCGCAAGGAGGATGACGACAAGGAGCTGCAGACGGCCTCCATCTTCGGCTCTGCCAAGGTGAGCTGGGCTGGGGTGGCTCTTCCTGTCCCTCGGGCGGAGCATGTTCTCAGGAAAGGGCTGGGATACATCAGACAGCCATCCCCAGCTCACACCAGCACCCTGAGTCATCACTGGGGACCTGAAAGGTGCTGTGAGGGGCAGGATGACCCCAAGACTCCTGTCACCTGCTGAAGATGTGTGGAGCCCCGCTTTGGCCAGGCCTTGGTAGGGAAATACAGACGGGGAACAAATCTGGTGCCAGCTTGAGCTCTGCTGGGGCTGTAGATGCAGTTAATTAATGCTCATTGACTGAGTGGGATGTAGAATGAGATAATTAAAGAAGAAGCCAGGGAGGGTGCAGGGATGGCCTCTCTGAGTCCTCCAGTCTCTGCTGTGACGCTGAGTGACCCTGCAGCGGCGAGCAGGAGGTGCTCTGTGGGTGCGCACGACCTTCCCATGCTCCCTTGTGTCCCCCAGGCACGCTGCGGCTTCAGCTCAAGCCTGTCTGCCCCATGAGTCCTTGGGGTGTCCTGGGGGAAGACAAGGGGTTGGTGTCAGGGAGGTGATGGGGTTGCTGTGGCCTGGGATGACCTGACCAGGCAGTGTGTGAGCACCTCTGAGCCCCGTGTCTCCAGCTGTATCCCCAGCACCCTCCTTGAGATCTTTTTCTTCCCTCAGGCTAGCCAGGAGGCCGACAACGTCCTCATCCTGCAGGACCGTAAGCTGATAACGGGGCCAGGGAGGCGCTACCTGCAGGTAGCCAAGAACCGCTTTGATGGGGATGTGGGTGTCTTCCCTCTGGAGTTCAGCAAGGCCTCGCTCACCTTCTCATCTGCCGGCAAAAGCAAGGTCAGGCTGAAGAAGATGAAGGAGGACAAGGCAGCGCCTTTAGACAAGAAAGCTCCGGAGGGAGGCTCGGGAGCCTCCAAGAAGTCCTGAGTCTGGCAGGTCTCTTCTTCTGTCCATCAGGAGGGATGGGGACTGGTGCTGGGAGCACAGGGCTGGGGTACACCAGCCCCTCTCCCCAGGGAGCAGCAGCCACACGCTGCCGTGGCCCTTTCTTCTGCTGCACGAACAAGACTCTTGGCCACCAGCATGGTGTCTCTGAGAGATGTGGAGCCATCAAGAGAGGAGGAGTTGGCTCATCCCAGAGGAGAGCAGCCAGGGGAGGGTACTTTGGCAAACGCTGGCTGCTCTGTACTGGTGTTGAGTGCTGGGAGCACAGGGGTGGGGGGAGTGGAGTTAGTGCGAGCTGGATGATGAGGAAGTAACCTGCAGCTCTGGGACTGTGGGATCTCTAGACCTGGGACAAGTTGTTAAGTTGTGGCTAAAATGGAGCTGAAATTCTGGACTGCCATTGGTGGGAAGGAGTGTGCAGAGGGACACATGGTGGGAACACCCCCCCATCACGGGTTGGGGGTCTTTGGGCTTGATCCTGCCTGGGAGGGAGCCAGCGAGGGGAAGGTGGTGGAGGGAAGTGTTGGACATTGTAGATGGCTCTTGCCCCAGAGCTGTGTGCTCTCTGTGGGATGCGGTGGGAGGGTGGGAGTGGGACCCCCGTGTCATCGCTGCTCGTGGCGGGTTGAAGGCAGCGCTGGCATCCTCCTGCACTGGTAGGCGCTACGTGGTTCTTGCTGGCTCTGCCCATGCTTGACCCAGCCCCCTTTGCTCAGGGTCTTCCCCAGCCCCTTTCTCAGGGCACATAAGCCTCGGGGGTAGCAGCCCCACCGTGCTCTCCTGGACTGGGGGAGGGTGGCCACCCCCGTGCCCTCTGGGCTGTGGGCAGCAAATACTGTGACCTGACCGGTCCTCACCGTGGTAGAGCGAGTCCACGGCTGGGTCTGGTCTAATCCTGTTGTGTTTTTTTCCCTTCCTAGTTTTATTAAAGCGTAAATGTGAGTGCTGTTTCTGTGCCACTGTCCCTGTGACCAGTGGACCCTGGGGTCTGGGGGGGACCCCAGAGGCCTTGGGGGATGTGGTGCCAGATGTCCCTGCTGCGCAGAGCATCCTGCCCTGGCACACAGGTTATTATCAGCCTCCGCGCCGGGCATAGTTTTCACCTGAGCCATAATGAGGGGCCGGGGCAGGCGGGCGGTACACACCCAGCCCCAGGTTTCCGGGGTGCACCAGCTCTCCTGGAGAACATCCTTGGGTTCTGTCAGTGCAGGTCTGAACCCCCTGGGGCAGAACGGGGGTGATGGCGGAGGAGAGTTGCAGGGAAGTGGAGGTAAGCGAGGGGATGGCAGGGGGAGTGAATTTCATAGAATCGTAGAATCATTAAGGTTGGGAAAGACCTCGGGGATCACGAAGTCCAACCGTCAACCCAACACCACCTACCTCACTAAACCATGTCCCTAAGAATTTGGGGTGAGGGTTTGCGTGGAGGCATGGGTGGGGGCTG